TCCCCTCCCTCTTTCCCCCCATTTGCAATGGTTCTGTTCCACATTTAAGTGATGAAAAGTTAAGACCTGTGGTTACAACTTCTATGCGAAACTTCATTTTGAAGGGCTGCTACATTTCAACTTTATTGCTATGAGGAAAAATGAAGAAACAAAAGGCCACAGTCACTCAACAGCAAAGAAAGCTGGGCAAAGACATGTAATAAGTATAAGTTCCCTACCACAACTTGTTGAAATATTGACCTTTGGGCCGAGTGAGCACTTATTTCTGCAAATGTTTAATGTGAACCAACCACAGCTCCTGGTCAAAGACGTTTTATGCTACCAAGTTTCTCCTCTAGCTTTTAAATAGCTGCGGCCTCAACAAATCTACGTTTGGTGGAGAGGAGGGAGGGAACAGGCAGAAGTATATGTGAAGAGAGGCGGGGAGTTCTATCGAGTGAAAATGAGAGTGTACATGCAAAGAGAATCTGAGGCTGCGCCACTCCTGCTGACTGAGGTATCCACTTCAAAATAACTCTTACAAGGAAGGAAGGAAAGAGGCTGTTGACCGGGAGCAGGAGGGGGGGGGGGGCTTCAGAAGATGGACACAGCTTGTCCAGGCAGGCGAGATCTCCATGAGGCATCCTCTCTGTTGCCGACCTCCCCGCTGGGGTCTGTCTGGGATTAATTGGCTTCCTCAGTAATGACTTATGGAAAATCTTCAAGGAGCAGCCTTCTAGGTCATCCAGCCAAAGACAGGCTGAAAGCTCTCTCTGTGTGGGAAGGGAATCTTTTTACTTTTCTTTCAAATTTGGAGTCTTGACTCCTAATTTCCCTGTCCACAAACCATAGGTTACACTTTTAATACCGAACATACAGTTCACGGAACCATCTTGAAAGAATGCTCTTGGTGATGACATCTATTTGCATATCCATGTTAAGACTCTGAGGATTCAGTTCTGGGTTTATACTAACAAAACCTGAATGAAGATTAAGTCACTCATTTACTTCACTTCAACTGTGCTCCCTGTGATGCAGAGCAATCCTGCGCATGTGAGCTCCACACACACGTGAGCTCCAATGCATTCAGAGGCACACACTTCATAGTGTACACAGGATTGCAACCTTAATCTGAGCAATTACAGTTTTAATTTTTCAGACTTCAACTTCTGATCCAGAGATTGTACTTACTTGTCATTAATTAATCCAGGGTGACACATCTTCTATGGCAAGAGATAATGCAGCACAGCAGTTAAGAGTACCGACCCCACACCTCCTATTTCAGTCATGGAATCCCTGGGTTATCACAGACAAGTAGGTACTGTTTCCAGCCTTGCTCCTACCTCCTCCATAATATGGGCTTAAAAGTGCAAGGATAGGGCTGTGAGGCTATAATAGGCTCTTATAACCGAAGCTCTTTGAGCACATAGGGTGAAAGGCACCCTGCTGTTTGAAGGAACGATGTGGTCCACGTTCTTTTGCAAAAGTTATGGTTGTAATGTTCTGTAAAGTAATGTTTTGAAAGGTAACTTTTGGGTGAATCTGAGAATATGCCAAAAGTTATTCCTCCCAGAGAAAGGACAATTCTGACTCTGCCCAGAATTCAGATAATGTCTCCTCTGAACACTTCATATCAGGATGACAAAAATGGACTTTGTTATAGTTAATGATACTCACAATATAGCAATATTTATACAACAGAAGTACCTAACTGATAAAGCAGGACCTTGTCAGTGTCCCAGAAGAGACACCTAAGGCTCCTGATAAATACAAATCTTATACCTGGTCATTATTTTAAAAGTGAGTTAATTGCCAGATAAAGAAATTTAAATAAATATTACAATATCCTGGAATTCTGAACATATTTAACATCAATACTTTTAACTATTTATTCGCTGTTAGGGTAATCATTAAGGCATTCTTACATCAAGGCAGGTAAGATGGTTTACATCAAAGTCTTCACCTACTGGGACTCTGATTGACAAGGAATAGCACTGATTTAATTCCTTAATTGCAGCAATTAGTCATTGCTGTACTGTGCAGGCCTCAAGACAGGCTAATTCAGAAGACTCTCATTCATAGGCCTGCCATAACTTGGAGATGACTTGACAGCATTTAAAGGCAATAGTCATTGCCACTTTCAGCCTTTTTGAAAATAATTTCCAAGGAAAATTGCAACTGTAAATGCATTTTTGAAAGTAAATCTGGTTGGTATTTCAGAAGGGACATAATGTCTACTTAATGTGGCTAGGATCAAGATATAACACCTACTTGACCACCTGGACTTTTATAGCCCAGTCCGCTGCATAAAGAGAATAGTTGAGGGCAGGCCTTAGGTTAGTGCTGGCTACTACACCAGCGTAAGTTGTGTTTTTTGGAAGCAATTCAATCCCTGTGAAGAGGGAGTTTCATCTCCTCCACAGTGAATGATTGGTGAGCAAAGAGCAGTGGTTAAATGAGAAGAAGGAAATACATTTTCTCTTAGAAAAACTGCTTCTAAGAGGGGAAAATATGTACTTGAGATGATTAGGAATTCCTGGAAAATCTTTCAGCCCTATTTGTTTAGCGAAGTTTATTTCAGCTACAAAAGTTGTGACATCTTGGCTTAAAAGAGATGGTAAAGAATTGGGGCAGGGTAGAGATAAGACTGTTGTAAGGATTACTGATACAGTGTTTAGAAAAGTAGCATAGGAATACTGAGTCGGTGAGCATGGCAGCAATTTTCCCTTCCAGAAAACTCAATTAAGTGGCATGTAAGGGGACTGAGAGGGCAGCGATGGGCATACTTCTGCTACTAGAAACAAGGAACCATGCAGCATGGATTTAGACCTTTCTATGAGCAGATAGGACCACATCTCCCCCTTAACGTGGGTTGTTGTCCTCCCCTCACTTAGCTGCTCCCAAACCATTCCCTGCTGCAGCGTGTTTGTTCTGCTCCCTTCCTGACAGCTCAAGCTCAAAGGACCAAACTGCTGGTCTTTGAGTACCACAGGTGGCACCAAAGGATGAGGGTAAACATTTCCTTCCAGGCAAGTTCCTTCCACTGCTACAGCACTGCTGTTATCTTGAAGGACTGTCACTTTACACAGACAAAACATAGCAGAATCATAAGGTGGAAATTAAGGCTGCAATCTGAAGCATGATTAATGGAAGTCACATCCAATGATCAGCAAGATTCACTTCAGAGAAGTTTACAGCGAAAATCTAAATGTAAACAGAATTCTCCTTCTGAAATATAACATGAAACAAAGCTTCACCCGCCCCCTCAAAACGTCCATGGTCCATTCTGTGCTATCCCCAATATTTTTTCCCTCCAGTACATGTGGACTTTGAAGTTTCTGTTACTTGGTAGTTACTCATAGACTGCACCAAGGAGATGGGTGAGGGAATACCGTGACCCAAGCAAGAGAGTAAAGCAGGAGAGGGATCGGTACAAGCACAGCACCCACGATGCCACAGGATGCCACAGGAGGACGGGCAAGGCAACAGCTGCATCTATTCTTGTTTCCCTCTTCCAATCCTTACCCTTCACAATTCAGCTTCTCTAACTCTGTTTTTTAAACAAGTCAGGCTATTGCAAAAAATGGACCATTTTACTGGTGAAAAAAGCATTTGCCCTTCTTTCTGTCTTTTAAAAGATGTCCAAAACATGCCTGTTAACTTCGGTGTAAATAATGTACTGCAAGGCTGAAGTTCTCTAAACTGAGGATTTAGAGACATCAAAATGAATTACATCCAAGGAAGAAACTACAGAGCAACCAAAATTGCCTAATCACAGAATGACTGATTGGTGCCCTACATCATAACCCTTTTTCTTAAAATATGATGACCTTAATGCCAACACAGACCCTGTCGTAGTATAGGCAGAATGCTAAATATTTAATTATCATGCTATCTAATATAGCATAAAAGACAGTGATGGGGTCCTAGTGGAGTTTGCCTGAGAGATGCTACCATCTCTAGCTTTTAGGACAACATGTCATAACTCTGCATGGTTGTTGTGACTCTGCAAAGCAGAGGAGGCTATTTGTTTATTGTTTGGTTTTTTAGTATGCACTACCCAAATAAAAATTATGAGTCACCCACCAAACTTAATTTGTCCTTCCGTGAGTTTACTTTAGCAAACTCCCCTCATATTGGGCTAACTACTAACAAAAGATGTGGCATAAACAAGAGGCATGTTTGACGCAATATGACACGATACAAAGTGACTGTAAAAGAGAACTAGAACAGTTAATGCACTGGGCAAATTCCCTGCTCACGGTGGTTAAATATGTAGCCTTTCTATGTAGAGTCGGTCTATCTCAGGCAGAAGGGCATGGACACCAGCACTGTGCCCCGCATCTCCCTGATGCAGCAGCTTTATCTTCTCCTCCTCTGCTGCCCTTCCATCCAACCCCACACACAAAGCAACAAAACTTAACAAGCAGCTGCTTTTGCCTCTCCAGCAAAGCACACACACAGGATTAAGGTCCGCCTGACAAAAACGCTCCCAACGTGTAATCGCAATGCCATGCCTGTCACCCAGCCACACTCGCCCATACATCTTCCTGTTCCCGACATGTCCTGCAGCAGCAACGCCCCAGCCGCCCGCCACACGGGGAAAAGGCCCCCAGGCGCGTGCGGCCGTTGCTTTGCTCGCCGGGGTGGCCGCGTCCTCCCCGCCTCTCGCGGGGCAGTCACGGCTGGCAGGCGGCGGTGCCATCCTGCCGAACAGGGCAGGCGGTTCTGCAGTCACAGAGGCGTGCGGCCACCTTGCCGGGCCTCAGAGGCCTCGCCCGTGCACAGGGTGCCTCGTCCATAAATCCGGAGGGAGGGCGCCCGCCTCGGCGAGAAAGGCTTGCCCGCCTCAGCCTGCGCCTGCCCGCCTCGGCCGCTTCGCCAAGGCTCCTGCGCGGCCTACGGGGGCGCGGCGCGCTCCGACCCGGCTTGGCCGCCGCTGGCCGCAGGCATTCCGCGGGGCCAGCCCTCCCCGTCGGCCGCCTACCAGCCTGGCCCCTGCGGCCCGGGGCGCCTCTCACCATCCTCGTAGTTCTTGAGGTAGTAGTCGGGTCCGGGTCCGCCGCGGCTCTTGGCGGGGTTCTTCACGTTCTGGAACTGCAAGAAGTCGGTCCTCTTGCCGGCGAAACGGAGGAAGGCGGGCGCCAGGCCACGGGCCAGGGTCACCAGGCGCCGGGAGCTGCGCGGAAAAGGGCTGCGTGAGCAGGGAGCGAGGGGCGGGCGGCCTGGGGAGCCCCGCCGGGCTCGCTGCGCCGCCATGGTGGCTCCTGTGCCCCCGAGGCCGGAAGCTTCTCGCGCGGCGGCGGCGGCGGCTGCCCGGGAGCGAGGCTGAGAAGGGCGGCTCGAGCCAGGCTCTGCTCCCGGGCCGGGGAGGGCGCATCGGCCCCGGGAATCCAGCGCGGCCCCTGGGGAAGCTGTCCAGGGAGGGACGGCGGGCAGCCGCAGTGCTCAGCCCCCCGGGAAGCGGGCGCGGAGATCTGGTGCCCGCCGCCCGCGTGGGCACAGCTTGCGCTCGCCCGCCGCCTGGGCTGGGTCGCCGCGCGGGGCACCCTGGCACGCGCCCTCGAGGGGCGCCGCGCGGGCCGCTCCGTCTTGCCCGTGGACACTTGTCGCCCAAGGAGCGCGCACGGCGCTCGGCTGCGGGCGGGCGACCGCGTCGTGCCGCCTAGGCGCCGATGTCGGGGGCTTTCCCCAGCCTCAAGCGGGCATCCTTCCCAGCAGGGCGCGCATTCACTGCCATGCAGCTCCCGGTCGGGAGTCGCCAAAGAGCCGGGGAGGATGGACCGCCCCGGGGACGCCCCGGCGGGCGGCAATTTCTGGCCCCCCAGAGCGCCCATGCTTGGGGCTGACACCCGCCCCGGGACAGATCTGCCGAGCCTGGCGGAGAGGGGGGCACGGCGAGCAGCAGCGTTCCTCTTCAGTCCGCCAGAAGAGCGATGTGTTTCCGAGATGCTTTCTCCATTGCAAACATGTGCATCTTAATAGGAACCATGGCCCGGCCTCCAGTCGCAGGCACGGCTCCGCGGGGCCATGAAGGGGGTGGGGGACGCGGGAGCCCAAAGGGCGAGCGGGCAAAGCCGCAGCGGGGGCCACGAGGGCTGCTGGCAGCGGACGCGTGGGGGGGGGGTGTCCCTGGAGCCGCCCCTTACCTGAGGAAGTCCAGCCAGCCGTCGTGGAGGATGGAGGGGTCCAGCTGCAGCGAGAGGAAGTTCTCGCTGGTTACGCGGACGGGGCTCCTGGTGTTCACGTCCAGGAGGATGAGCGTCCTGCCCGAGGCGCCCCGAGGGCTGGTCCCGGCGGGAAGACGCCTCACCCCGGCCTGGGAAGGGAGGGAGAGGTGAGCCAGCAGCGCCAGACCAGGGGCCAAGAGGGCCAGGAAGCCGGGAGGGCCAGAGCTGGGGTAGGGCATGCTGGGCCGAGGCCGAGGGGGGCTCCCCAATTAAGTCCCGCGCCGGGCACCGCCAGCCACGGGCGGCTAATTGTCCGGAGTGCAAAACGAGGGGGCGCGCTGCCTTTTTTTCCCTCCCCCCTCCCCCCATGTTTTGGTGCTGGTGGGAGAGGGGAGCTCACGCCCCTGACCAGCCTTCCCCGGGGCCGGTGCCAAGACGCCGCGTTCACCAGCGCCGCCCCTGGAAGAACCGCCGCCTGCGGACATTTTCGCTTTCGCAAAGGTAACGAGGAGTCGCTGCTGAGTTAACCCTCTCCGCCCGGGCTCCCGAGGGACCGGCACGGCTCCCCGGGGAAGCGGGAAGCCACCGGCCAGCCGCCCTCCTCTCTTGGGCTGCCCGAGCCCAGGCCTCCCTCCCGGAACCGCGCAGGACCCCGCGGCGAGAGGAGCCGCGCCCGGAGGTGAGGCAGCCCCTTCCTATGCCCAGGAGAGGCGGCCTGGCCTCCTCCCGCCCGCCCCGTTAAGAAACTCTCTGGCAGCGCTACGGGAGAGAGGCGATCTCCGAGCGCGGGTGGAGGCGGTGAAGCGGGCGGCGGCGGCCAGGGGGGCGGCTTCCTTCGCGGGATTGGCTCGGGCGCCTCCGCTCCCTCGCTGGAAGCCTCCGCCGCCTGAGCAGCCCGCGGCAGGACCCGGGACGGAGGCGGGCGGGGGGCGCAGCAGCGACGCCCACCAGCGCGCGGTGCCCGAGAGAGCCGCGACGGCCGCCGCTCGGCCGGGACCTGCACAGCGCGCTCGGGCTCCGAGGAGGTGGAAGGGCGGCCCCCGCGGCCGGCAGCGGGGAGACGGACCTGGGCTGGAGGAGCGGGTGAGTCAGCCCGGCGCCTAGGCCGGCCGGGGGGGGCGGCGAGTCCCCTCGACGGGGAGCGCGGCGGCTCCCGGCAGCCCCGGAGAAGCCCCGCGCGAACCTGCCCCCCCGCCGCCGCCTCCCGCGCGCCCTCGCTTTCGGTGGAGGGGCCTACAGCCTGTCCTCCCCGCGCCCTTCCCCCGAGCGCCAGGGCCCGGAGCCCGGGGGACTCTGCTCTTTGAGTGGACGGTCTTCGGTCTTGGACCCGCGGAGGCGTCCCTGAGGATCGGCTGGGAATAGGCACCGCTCTGAAATTAAATTAAGAAATTGAATTATGAATGCAGCGAAGCCAATGAAACCCCGTGCATGGCGGAAAAAATCCTTCCATTCCCACTCGGAGCGTAGGTGGAGACATCTGGCCGCTTCCCCCTCCGATAGTTTCGGGTAGGTCCGGTGATCGGCCTGGAAGATGCCCAGTTTTGAGCAACATCGGCATGCGGGGCGAGCCTCCAAGGTCCTTGCGCGGGACTCGGTGTGTGCGTGCGAGGGCGGGTGGGAGAGACTCCGGGCGCTCCGATCCAGCGTATGCATGGCGTGTCCATTTAGGCTGCATTCTTTGCGCTGTCCTGGGAGTAAGCCCCGTGGAGCACGGTGGGAGTTACTTCCACGTGTGCCAAGTCGCAGACTGGACAAGCCTTCTAAGCGCATTAGAATTTGAAATAAATTCCAGAACAATCAGGGAGTCACCCACTACCATGAAAATATTGCTATTGCAAACAGGGTGCTTAGAAGTGTCGCGTCCTTGTTGCCAGGCACGGGAAGACTTGGCCACGTGCAGCAGGTTTTCCCCAGCAGATCCCAAGAATTAAGTGAGTGTCTTATGCCCCTACCTGGAATAACCGTGAATTCTGCGGAATCGCGCATATCGGTCTTCTGTCACTTCCACGGCCCAAAAGACAGTGCTCGAAACCTTCCCATTTAACACAGTAACTGCAGTCTTGTACCTGTCTACTCAGAGTAACCCCCATTCAGTGGGACTTACTCCCAGGCAGTGTGCAAGAGATTGCAGCCTAAACATTTATGTGCTGGTAACACTCAGGTTAAAATAAATCAGATGAAGGACCTCCAACCCACCCCAAGCTCTGAACTTTAGCTAGTTTCAAAGATTTAAGAATCCTTAAAAAAAAAAAAAAAATCACTGTTCATAGCTACCTCAACACTGTAGGGCTCAATCGCATTTACTCTGAAGTTAGTCCCTTGGAGTAGGTGGGGACCACATGAGACTACAGCTCTGATTTGGGGCCAAACATGCTCCGACTCTAATATTAAACAGTTTATGGCGAATGCTTCTCTCACTCTTCCCCTTGGTTTGTCTGGTATGTGAAGCGCTGCAGGGGGGGCGGCGGCTGTGTGTGGGGGGCGCGATTTGTAATTTTAGGTGCAGGTCAGATGCAAATTTTGCACTGCGCAGTTCTTTGCAAAGAGTAAAAATCGGTGACTGTTAATGACATCTCAAAGGGTTTTGCATCTCAGCCTGTCACCTGCCCGATCCTGTGCATGTTTAAACCCTGTTAATCCTAGTAGGTCCTACTCCTGAGTAAATGTATGCAAGATTGAAGCCTTTGAGAGCGATCTCGCTGAAGCCCTTAATTTCCCTCCCTCACAAAATCCTAATCAAAAACACTGCATTATATAAAACTTCTCACAGTCTGGACACCCGCAGAAGTCCGATCTTATCCTGACATGAGAATGTTTCCAAATTATCCAAGTTCCGCTTGTGCAGAGTTCTCCGAGTATGTGCACAAGCTGTGCATGCAATCCTGCTGCGGAATTTTTTGGGAGTTGAGAACTTGGATGCTGAAGGAGTGAGATATTACCCTGCAGCCGGTTTAGGACAGAAAGGGCACGGGGTATTCGAACCCGCGAGCCGCAGGGAAGGCTGCAGCGTGTGCATTTGCCGTGTGTCACAGAAGCTGTCCGACTAAGTGCAGCGGCAGGGGATGGGATTGGACTGGGCCTGGGGTTTGGAGGAGAAACAAAAATAATCGGAAGACCTGGACACCTTCCCCCTCTGCCTTCATGAGTATTTATGCTCAAGCTGACACTACTGAAGAATTCTCCACATTCGCAACGGTAGCCCGCCGGGGTCACTCAGCCCAGTAGCCTGTCTCTGACAGGATCCAGATCCGGATCCTTCAGGAGGCTTTAAAAGAGAGGCGGGTGGTGCGGGGTCAGTGCTAGTCTTTCCAGTGCGAGTCTCTGGAAACCTATGATTTTAGGAACAGCTAAAACGCTGGAACAGATGCACGGCCTTTCCTAGGTAACGTTTGTTGTTAATACCTTCTGTGTAATATTCAAAGGCATCAGGCTTAGAGGAAATAGAGCAGCCATTCCATACAAAGGACAATTTACCTGGGGAATTCTTCGTAGTTATTCGAACTGAAATGTTAGTGTTCCAGTTTGGTTTACTCCAGAGAGGACCCAAAACAAATGATACCTTGCAGGAAACGGATGCCTTTAAATGTAATTAGGTAGTCCTTATTCTGTAAAAGGCTGGAGGAAGAAAGAGGACATAAGTGGGCTCTGCAGTTTGTTTTCAGTATTCATGATGTTATATTAGAATAATTGTACCCTCTTTTTCAGTTAAAATCCAATGATAGTCTAACTTAAGTCTCATGGGTTTACTCTAAGAAGGACCGATATAAAATACAGCTCGTCGTCCTCCCAGCCCCCAAAGGAAAGAGTTTACATTTGTTGAGATCCTTGCTTGTGACCAAGACATTCTGTTCAGTCTTTTTGTTTTGTTTTCTGCCACTGCGCCCCAATTCTGTGATACCCTCAAGAAGAGAGGACACTGGAGCAGAGGGGCTTGCAGGACTCCATGCAAGGCTGAGTTTGCCCTGTCGGCACTCTTCGCAGGAGCCCTTTGGGAGCAGTCAAATGTTAGGCAGCCCTTCCTTCGGGCACCAGGGCCAGTGGGTCCGCGAAACCTGAAGCCACAACAAGTCTGTCCTCCTTCGTGACACCATGGGAGCCTCTCTCGTCTTCTCTGCGGCGGCACACGAACGCAGCTGCCCGCCCCAGCCCACGGGGAGCCTTCCGTTGTGATGCTCCTTTGGGTGGTTGCTAAAGTCCATGGAGCCGGCAGTTCGCAGGATCTCCTGAGAAAGGGGACAGTGGCCTTTCTGCCGGCATGGGGACTCTGGAGTGAGTGCCACTGTGCCACAAAACTGCCTTCTGCAACCTTCAGCTGGTATGGGGGGGGGGGGGCATTTTCCATCCCTAGCATTCAGCGAGGGCCAAACATGTGCTGTGCAGTTAAGCTGGCTCTCAGCACCATTGGACCAGAGCAGCTACGATCCTAAGCTCTGGCGAGGAAGCAAATTCCACTGAAAGCAGCTTTGCTGAAACACCGCATAGCATTTACAAACCACCATCATGTGTATATGAAGTATCGCATGCCGTTATATGGGAACAATTACATCCCGAAGTCTAAATACTCTGTACTTAAGTAAACTGCACTGACACAGCTAACCTTCTGTGCCCCGTCTTTTGGGGAACGGCTGTTATTCCTCCCGGCCTGCCCGCCCCCCCAAAAAAGAATCATATTGTATTTTTCCAAACTGGATTTCATCTGCAGCTTTCACGAGGAGCGAAGTGAGCCATCCTCATGGCTCTGTCCATTTCTGACCCTGAGCATGTCTGCCCTGAAGTTCACGCGGTTTGCTCCCAGAAATGCAAAGGCAGGATCGCAGTCTCAGCCGGCTTAAAACGAGCTGTGCACAGCAACCGGTGGTCAGTCCTACAGAGTCCAATGGAGCTTATGAATAAACAGATTAAGTCCCACGGAATACAACACATAGGAATACAGTTGAAACAGTTGGATATCCTGCCGAGAGTGCACTTATTCACTCCCCTTTCAGCTCATTAATATGTTCAACAACTCCTGATCAGTTGAGATGTAGCTATAGCTATTCCAGCTGGGGGTAAAGGCAAGGCTATGCTTCCTTATGCAATGCCCTTTTAAGGGTTACAGCTCTGCATTCCCTCGTTTGTTTTCAAAAACTAATTGAGTGAATTAGCCGGTTTTTAGACACGTTCGGTGTAGACTAAACCTCTTCTATCCCTATTTCTTGACACTCCAGAGAAAGGTGAAATAAAATCCCAATTAGAATTC